ACCTCAGCTAAGTCACCAAGCTTACACAGATTTATACCACACATTTCAATTCACCATTACAGACACATTCACAGTAATGACTACAAACTTACGCAAGTACTTGCGGAACATGGGAATACAAAACAATATCTTAAAAGATTCAACATTATACAAACAGACTTATGTGATGAAGAAGACAGGTTCAAAATTTTAAACATATAATATATGACTGTAAACGATTTGACAGACAGCGATTTGAGTTAATAAAAAGCATAATTATCAAAAGAGGAAATTGGTCTGAGATGGAACAAAAGTTATTTACTGAATTCAAGACACACTTTCTTAGATTTATTAGATCGATCGACTTCGACTTACTAACCAGGGATGGGCAGCGTGGATGATTTTTTTTTTGGCTTTGTTGGATTGACTTTGTGTGTTTAATATTTAATTTTCCGATTTAATTTTTGTGTGTTTATTCTTTGTATTTTTGTTTGTTAATGTATATAAATTTGAACTAAAAATGTATATCATGTGAAACTAGAAAAAAAAATTGTAAACAAATGTAATTCATGTAGTATGTCTTTAAGGCATAGAGCATGAAGGAAAATCAAATAAACGATCCTTGTGTGGGGTTACCACGTAGTGGGAAAAAAAAAAAAAAAAAAAAAATATATATATATATATATATATATATATATATATATATAATATAGCTATGAAAAGATATGATCACTAAAAGAGAATTGATTGATTATGAAGTTTCACTTCAGGTTTGGTTGATTGCGTTTCGTTTTACATAATAACAGTTACATGGTTAATCTAACACTTTATGACTGGTTGCACCATTGTTTAGGATAGCTGTTAGCAATGGCGAAATGAGTTGCGTAAAAACCAATATGTTTTATTAAATGCGCAGTACTATTAATCCTTTCCTTAACCATATTGGTTGAGAGGTTCGTTAATGTATGCATCTTAATGAGAACTTCTAACTGGCATTAAGAAACATAGAAGGTGGCTATCTTCTCCTTTCAATTGTATTTAAAAATAGTTCCTCTAACTGATGAACCTTTAACTTCAGTCATTTAAATTAATTAGGGTATTTTATTTTATTTTTCTCACATTTCTCACTTTTTCGGATGTTAAGAATTTTTACGTAGCCTAGTGACTGGGCGGTGGTTCAAAGCCAGAGTTAAAAGTCCCCTCCTTCGCCACCTTGTTTCGAACTTGTAATCATCAGTTTATCATGTTACTTTGGCCACCCCGTCCCAACATCAATTAAAATCATCATTCAAATCTACTGTCCTTCGATGCGGTGTTCGATAATCGCGAAGTAAGCGTGTCGACATGCAGCTTTGATCACTCAACTGAAGGCAGTCGCATGTTTTTTCTCAATACTCGGGTTAAAGTTAAGAGTAATGTTAGTTCCTGTTTAATTATATTTTCTGATTGAAGTTCTCTTTAATTACTTTTCGCATCGTCATCCTCATTTGTTTTGCTCATCCGACAATCGTCTTTGCAATTTCATCTTTTTATTGTTCAACCTTAACATTTTATTTTTATAATGTATTATTTATTATGTATAATTTATTCTTGATTTACCCCTGTCAATAATATTATTAACAACAAGTAAATTAGATGATCTTCCTTTAAAATAAGAAACATGAGAGTTGGAGGAGTACTTAGCGACATCTATTGGCGTAATTTCTACATTGAATATTTTTGTGTCATTTGGAGAGGATGTCTCTTATCCTACTCTTTACTACCTTTAACGTATACGTGTTGTTGCTATGTTATTTGTTATGAAATATTTTACCATTGGCTCATATTTGTTCGTTAACAATCGGCATGTGAAGATCAGTGTGCAAAGTTATGTTGCCAACATACTTGAGTGCTTTTGCCATCGTCCTTAATGTTTTTTAGGTGTCAGTAAATAAATAACAATATAAGATTATTATTCAGATGAGTACCGCGCGGGTTATGCGTCGTTCACAATTACTTCGGTCTCACTTGTTCGTCTTTTGGATAAACCCGGAAGCATTCGGCAACCCAATATAATTTTTTTTTAAATGGAAACTTGTTTGGGCGCGCTTAGCACTTTATTTTTTGGGTATTTAATGAAACTGAACCGTCACACTCGGCTATGTAACGCTCGTTCGGGTAGCGTCGGCTCATGTCGACGAATTTTAGCATCTGATTAAAATTAAATATCTCTGAACTAAAAATCGGACCTGAGTACTGTTAGCAAAGAAAATGTTCAAAATTTTATCTTCTTTGTAATGAGCTATTATTTAAAATTTTATTTTTACATGACGCCGAATTAGAGAGTCGAAAAGGAAAAAATATGGCGTTACAAAAACAAATAATATCGATTGTTTTTAACATTTGGACTAAAATATCTCAAAAATTCAAGTATAGTAAATGTTAGTACTTTGTGAATATAGAATAAAAAATAGTGTATAGTATAGTTTTAGTATATAAAAAAAAAGTTATATTTCATATTATTAATTCTGTCTCGTTGATGTTTTCACTTTTTTTTTTATTGATATGTGAGACCATTGTCACTCTTTGGCCAAATGTCAGACCAAGGTAGTGGACATTATATGTCTGTGAAATCTATGTATTGTAATTGAGGACACGTTTCATATGTCATATATTCAGATATTGTTTAATATTATCATGACTTGCAACATAGTTTTATCATTAACTATTCGTAACATATTATAATAATGTAATTAAATAAATATATAGAGTTGTTTTTATAATAAATATATTATAATAAAATTAGTTCGAAATATTAGGAATATTTCACAACATAATAATATCGTTATTAAAATAAATTTATTAATATGTTTTATATAATACGTAATTCTAACGTAATTAATCTGATGTAAAAACCATGCCAATTAACCATTAATAGATTTTAATATATATTTTTTTTTAATTTCTGGGTCGATTATTTGATCCAAGAAGTTTTCTTTTGTTGATGGATCAGGTGCTAACTTTATTGAGGCTAAGTGTGCTTCTTGAAGTTTCCGAATCAAGAGTTTTTTCGTTCTATTTTTTTTTTATTGACAAATTTATAACAGATTGTTAGTTGGTATTTCAATGTGTGTTTTACTCAATATTATTGAATTCATTCTTAAATTTATTATTAACGTCTGAAGGCAACAAATATCTTTTCAAATAGTGAATGACCATTGTTTTTCTCAGACAAGATTGCAATCAATAAAACTATTCCTTCCAATCAGTCAAACGATTCTACGATTGAGACAGATAATTTTACCGCTTACGGAAGAAAAGGTTTTGAAACAATTGTGAAGTGACTAATTTTGTGTTTATCTACCCGTTACGATTTGATGACTTATAATTAAGGGAGAATTGTTTAACTGTCCTAATTTATTAAATGTGTATTAATAATAGTAAATCAACGTTTAAAAACAATGGTGAAAGAAGTCCGATCCGATTATTGTTTTATATTTTAAGTTTAATTTATCCCCATTTATTTTATTGTTATAATCTTTATTGTATTGAAATAAAAATAAATATACCTCTTATTTTGGTAACTTTTCATTAAGGCTATATATTTTTATATTGTTCCTAAATGAAAATTATAAATTTGATTCGTGATGATAAAACAGTTCAAACTTGACTGCTTTTATGGATTCACAATACGGTAATTAGAAATAATTTATATAAAAAAGTATATATTTAAAAAAATTACAATAAAAGTAAGAGTTTTGTTATTAGGCGCTGGAGGAGAGACTTCCTCCTTAACAAAACATGATAATTGAATTCAAGCCAGGGAAGAGCTACTGCTGAGTGCTATCCTTCCCCAATTGTCCACAGCTGGTCCACATGTGTAGATAATTATATGAATACAATAATAATTAAAAAAAATATTATAAAAGAAATATTTGCGACAAATGACTTCATTACTTTCGAAATCATCATAACTTTAAATTAAATACTTATACATACCTATTTTGATCCGTATGGTTATACGCCTTACATGTTTATAGTTTAGCAAAAAATACATTTTTCAAAAATTACCTTCTTTTCAATTCAAAATTTTACGACTAATATCAGATACTCCAAGGTACGTAAACAACACAACTCTACATACCGACTCACGACAAGTATAAACCAACACATACGTACTATTTATTTCCACTTCCATAATAAACTTCATGCTAAAAAGGAATTGGGTGAGTGACATTTTTTCTTCGATGACGGTGATAATAGAAAAATAAAGAGAAAAATAATAGGTTATTTGTTGTCTTTTTGTTTTAAAATTAGACCAGTTTAGAATTAACATAAAAAAATAAAACACTTGGCTTCTTAATTTATTACAGCATAGTTGTAACTCCTTTTACAATTATCACTGAACGTAATTCACTATTCCATTTAATAGGACTAAGTTCATAAAGAATAATCTGCATTAGAATTAATATAGGAAATATCGAAAAAAATTTCTGTGTTATGTGAGATGTGGTATGATGTACAAATCAATGTCAATTATACTTTAAAAAATAAACTAAACATTTTATAACAAATTTCTCGCATGTAATAAATATATCAGAATATATTTATAACTTGTAGGATAAACTCCCTTTTCTTCTCCTAGATAATGTAAAAAAGAGTATTGGACTTAATAAGAACGAAATAAGTATATAAAAATATATTGTTATGAATAAATAAAATAAAAATTAATTAAAATTTGTATGCATCCGTACAAAATAGAACTTTTAATAATTATATAAGTACTATATAAATTTCATAGATATATTAAGAGTGGTAATTTAAAGATAGTATAGTGTATTTTTCTTTATTTTTTAATTTATATTAATTTTCTTCCTGTCGATTTTTTTGCAGTTGTTTTTAATAAAACTTTATCTGTACAAAAACACTGAAAAGAAAATTAATGAAATGAATTAACTTTTAATACATCTTACCTTTTTTTTTTATATTTACCTTGAAAATCTTCTTGAGTTGGCAAGTAATAAGTTCGATGCCACGTAAGTGGAAAATAATGGTGGGTAGGTGGGTGACTTATAATCTTTATTACAAAATACACAAACGTATAAAATATTTTTGATTTACAATTATAAAAATATAGTACAATTTAACACATGCTCATTTGTGTCAATAAATATATTTACTTTTTTTTACAAATATAAAAAAATATTTTGCATACATTATTTTTTCTCTATATAATATTTAAACATGTGATATAGTTTTCTTTTTTTAATTAAACAAAAAAAAATTAATTATCTTTGGTATTCATTTATTCTTATCATGTATGTAAGAGATTGATTTTATATTAGCTATATAGCCATATGAAAAAATTAATTTAAAAAAAATATGTGATTAATTTGTAATTTACATAACTATGCATTAATGGCTTAAACAAAATAATTGTTTTGAAATGTTTTTTTTTTTTTAATCTTACTATAACATAGATTAAATAATTCAATACGAATTATAATACAGTATAATACGTTTAGCTCATACCATAAGTTATCTAATTAAAGTAACTTCACACTTATATTTTGAGTATTAAGTTTTTTCTGTTCTTCAATTCTATTAATTTTTGTATAACTTCTATATTTTATTGATTTTTATACTTTTAATGCTAAATTTACACGCAAGAAATTTGAGTTCCTATTCTTAAATATTTTGTTGTTTTTTTCTAAATATACTTATTTAATATTTTTCGTCTGCAAACAGAAAAAAACTAGCTATCTTTGGTACTCATTTATTGTTATTATTTCCATAAGGAATTCATGTTATATTTATATCATATTTACATAAGCTATTTCCTATGAAATAATTATTTTTAAAAAAATCTTTGATTAATTTGTTATTAATATAAAAAAAAATGGTTTAGATTGTTTTTATAATCTTACTTATACATTGAGTAATAATTTAGTAAGAATTATTATAAATTAGAATATATTTATTAATATATATATACCGTAATTAAAATAATTTATCTTTAATATTTAAAGTATCAGTTATTTCCAGTCTTCAGTACTATTATTTTTAATAGCAATGTCAGAAAATATTTTTTGTTGAGTTATTACTTTATTGAGTTTTACAATTTTTCTACTTTTAATGCAAAATTTACAAACAATAAATTTGAGTTCTTAGTATTAATTATTTTATTGTTTTTTTAAATATATTTGTTTGATATTTTTATTTATTATTTTTTCGTTTTGATCTTTAATTTATTTTAATTTTTTGTTCTATTTTTTAAAAAAAATTAATTTTTATGTGCCATAAATAATTATTTTTCTTATATTCTTTATTTTATTCTTATAGTATTTTATTAACTTTTTTTTTCTTTCCTTCATTTGGTTTATTTTATTTTTGTTTTATTTCAATAATTTTAATTTTTTTTTGTACTTATTTCAATTTAATTTGATTGTTGAATTGTTTTATGTATGCTAAAAGTTGTCGTACATGCACTTAATGAAAACGAATAAGAAATTCTACAAATATGTAATATATACAAAAACATACAAATTACCATCGATAGATATTATACACATCATCGTCCTTCTATAAACACACCATTACATCCTCATGAAATAAATTAATATATCTGTTATTATTATCAGTTATTGCCTTCTGGGCGAGTGGCTGTGAGCCGCCACTTATTTTAGTATTGAGCGCATTCTGTCGGTGAGAAGAGGTAGACTGATCATATGTAGTTTCCCTTAGAATCCTTATAGAGGTCGTCGTTGACGCTGTACCTGTCCGGAGAGGTGGCGCAATCTACGTTGAACCACCAATCGCAGACGCGGACGGCCTGATTGAACACTGTTCCGTTGGGGCAAAGGAAGGAGTACATCGCTCCGGAGGGCAGGCACCAATGCCAGACCTACAATTAATTTATTTAAATTTAAATTATCAACAATAAAAATAAATAAAATAAAATCGCTATTGAAAATTAATCAAAATTGCACATAAATCGGTCACTGTTTACAAGTTGATGGTCAGGTAGAACATTCAGATCATCGAAATTCTGAAATAATTATCCATAAACATTCCATATTCCAATACTTTTCATCAATGTTATAAGATGTGGTTTTTGTTTTGAATTTGAATTTTTCCTAATAAATCTATGATAAAAGTGATGGTTAGATGATAACCTTTTACTAGATGTTGAGGTCTTGTGATGCTAAACTGTCAGTTGATAGAAGGTAACAGAGCAATCACATAATTTACATTCGCTTTAAAAAAGCACATTAACTTAAATGATCACGGTATCTATATTTTTATATCTTATATCTTCTGTATATATAGTGTCAATTTGTTCATATATACTAAATAATTCGAGTATTTTATTTTTTATTTCAATGCCGATATTATACAGATTAAACTTGTCAATTAAAATGACTGAGATTATCTTTAGTCGTACCTAATACAAATTTATTTTATACATCCTACCCTTATACGTATTAAACTATTCCACACTACTCAAAAAAATTAGTAATACCACATAATAACTTTTAGTAATAAGATATATGAGATCTGTGGGGATATTGTTATTTTATGTCTCATAAACAATTTTTAAATCGGTGATTATTCGTTGTAATCACTGGATTCGGACCAAAACCCACACAAAGCAAAGGAATACAATAGGTACATATTACTAAATATATCCATTCTTACTATGTATATATTAATACTAAATATATCCATATATATATATATATATATATATATATATATATATATATATATAACATAATGTGTGTGTGTGTTTAAACAATCACATTATTTACTTATTTTAAATTATAATATATATATATATATGTGTGTGTGTGTGTGTGCTTAAGAGCATTAATGCTTTTGTTATTATTTATGTCAGTGGCCTTGTAGGACCATTAAAAAAACAAAAAAATAATAATAATAAAAAAAAATTCCTCGATATTAAATCCTGGAGTCGATCTACTATTACAATTGATCTATTATTTGAAGCTATGATCCACCCAATAATAATAATAATATGCAATAAATGAAATAATGGTTGATTTATAAATACAGATAATTAACGATTAACTATAAAATCTATGAATTAAATTAAAAATTATCAAAACCCGTTAGCTAATGTATTATTTGTATTCATTCTAACAAAAACGATCGTATTGCTAAAATAAATTTTACGAGTTGTTCATATTTACATAATATTTAGTTATTAATGATGGTTACATAGTATTTAGTTATATAGTAGTTGAGAGCACCTGTCGGTTCCTTCCGCGATAAATCCTACCCACCCGCAACACTGACAAGTCGTGCGGAATAACATATCCAGAGCTGGTAGGCGTTTTGCTTGGGATGAAGTTTCAACTTTAAGACATTCTTTGGAGTCTGTGTGGGCAATGTTTTGAATGAATGAATGAAAATAATTTTATTATTTTGGGGCTAGTGTCCCTTTGGAACAAATTACAAATGCTGAATATATATTAATATTCTGTTGTGTCCATAAAATACAATTAAATATTTACAGAATTATTAATAATAAGATAAAAGTACAAATAATAAAAATATATAAAAACGTACATAAATTAGTTGAGGATTTACACCTCCAGTAGCAAATATTTTGAGGGATGACGCAGACACAATTAAAAAGTGTTAAATTTCTTGAAATCAAACGATTTGTTTAAAAAAAAATTATAATCTTAAAAATTTAATACGATGTTTTACGCCTTAAAACCCCAACAAACGAACATACATAAATATAAAATAAACAGAGAAAATAAAATCAATAAACAAAATATCAATAAATCATAAAATAATCAAAGTATCTGAGGTAATTTTTTTTTTTGCTTCCTCTTCGATCCCTCATAATCCTCCGAGGCGTCTGAAAATTAGATGGCCTCGTGATCTAATTTAGAAATAAGTGCTACCAATAGGTGGTTTCTCTACGAGTATTCTCATGTCATTGTATTACTACTTATATATGTTTACTAGATATATGTTTGCTTTTGTACAGTTGTAAATTTAATAAATAAAACAGTTGTAAATAATTATTAAAAAGAAAAGTAATTTTTAAAAGTTTTATAATTTGTAATAGATATGTTTGATTTCTATTTTTTTTTTTTTTTACTTTATTTTCTCACCTACACCTTTAAAAAATACAATCAGTGAATTTTCTGTCGGGAAGAATAATACCAGTAGCTTATCTATCGGTATAAGGAAGTGGAGTACCCAACGGTTTTCCTTTCTATTTTGATTTTAGAATAGGTTTTAAACGAGATACCTCTTCCAGCTTATTTTTAGTCCCGCAGGCCTGTTATCGGATACGTTTATTGTCGTCATATCTTTTATGAGAGTTAAGATGTCCGTGAATGTGTTAGTTATCGTGAAATCTTTTGCAGTGTATCTGTTATTAAATTATTATTATTATTATTATTATTGTTACAATGTTTTCATCGTGGTATTATAGTGACTGTTATAAACTCTCATTAGGTATGGTAATCTGTGTAATAAAATATTTTTATTCTTTGAATATTTAAATAAAAGTTTTCCGTTTTATTAAAAAAGAAGTCTCGCCAAAATTAGCGTTTATTTATTGTGAATTTCAAGTTTCAATTTCTACTCTTCTGACTGTTAATATAATTTGTAATTGTAGTTTTTATGAGTTCGAAATAGGTTTGTTTAATGGGGTCCTCCTAGTTATAAAAGTTGTTACGAATGATTGAATGGTGCCTATGAATTTTTCTTCACTCCAATTACTCCACTACATCGTTCTATTGTTTTATTTTGAGTGATAGACTGTGGATTAAATGTTACTTTAAAATATGAAACTTCTGAAAATTTTAAATTATTTTTATTCGTATTTTAACGATATGTATTACTGGTATTTATTTGGTGTATCAAGCTGATACTTATGTAACGTATTAATTTTAGTTTCTTTAATTGAATTAACCTCTCACTTCTCTTGTCCTCTTAATTTTCAATCAATATTTTTTTCTATTTGTTTTATTTTATTTTATTTTACTGTGACTTTTTCACCATTATGGTCATATTGTTTTTCTAACTTTGAATGTTCTTTTATTATTTAGGGACATCTCATTTTCTTTTGTAAGTTATATCGCTCCTTGGTCTAGTTGTTTATTGCGACTGAGAAGACAGGCAACTAAAATTCAAGTTAAACATGTGAGCAACTGTTATTTCGGTTTCCGTTTAATTATATAATTTTATTAGTTTCGACGATCTAAAATATGCTTTTTCAAATAAAGTTGAACAAAAAATCTTTACTTGGCATTGAGCTTCGGGATCTGCGTAGTAACCTGGAGGCCTTGACTGACATGTAAATGCCAAACCTTTTGGTACGCTATCATAGGTTGGATAGGTTGCGTCTTGGCCCATCTGAAAAAAAAATAATAATAGTAGTGTAAAACATGAAATAATTATTGTTTTGAAATTAACAGAGTACAGAAGGAAGAACTGTGGCCGAAACTTCAAAATGAAACGAAAGACTTTGCTCAAGCGACTTAAAATACTATACTGACTTTTTTCCAAATCAAAATTGAAATCAGGCAAAAACTAAACACACACACTTATCTGCTCAAGCCCATATGAGCATACTCCTACAGATACAGATTTACGGTTCAGAATGAAAGACTTACTGACAAATGCCTTGAGTCCGCACTTCTGTGTAAGTTATTGTTAAATATTTCGTAGTGTGTTCGTGAACTTTTGGCACGTGCAAACTTTTATGTAGGTTAATTTTGCTGAGGTACCAGGGAGTTTTGGCTAAATTCCAAAAGGTTTTTGATTGAAAAGTTTGTAGTTTACATGTGTGGGTCTTATCGTATACTTTTGAAATTTATACTACAATCGGCTTAAGTAGGTGTAGCTATTTAATTTCGAATGATAACATTCGCAGACTTAAGTTGGGTTCTTCAAATGTGGAATTCGTGTTATTGTTTCTTTGACATATTTTTTTCCAAATATTATTCTAATAACTTTAATAACTCTGTCTGTGGTATTTGGACATTGTCGTAGTATAGAAAAGTACAAGTTTCACGGTAAAGAGTTCTTCTTCGAAAAGAATTTTTCAGAGTTTGTTCCTGTCATGAAATTTTATTTGGCTATATTTTCAAGTCCGAATAATCTCTAAAATTAACTTCCTTAATTAATAGTTCTCTAAATACATTTGTTTTCTACGATTATTTATTTTATTATTTTTTTATTGATGTTGACAACTGTATTATTATAAAAATACAACTAGTAAATGTACACTTAGGAATATAATAACATGAAATCGCTTGTTGAGAAACTACCCACTGTAAGCACTCAAATAATAAATTTACACAAGACGATCACGAGGCCACCTTCTTTTCAGACGCCTCGGAGGGTTATCAGGGATCGAGGAGGAAGAAAGGTTTGAAACGAGAGGGTTCGGATGGTTCTGGAGTTTGTTATGGAAGGATAGAAATCTGGATTGGGACAAATCGGGAACATATGGAACATTAAGGTCTTTATGGATGATTTTATTTGTGACAAAGTAAGGAGCGTTTAGGATATTACGAAAGATTTTGGATTGTAGGGATTGGATACGAGAGGAATCCGATGCTTTTGTGGAGCCTCAAGGCTCAATTCCGTAAGTCCAAATAGGTCTTATTATGGTCATATATATGTGTCGTTTGTAATTGATTGAAAGCTTAGAGCGTTTGTCTAGTAAGTGCTGGCCCGATTATTTATTTTCAAATTTATGAAAAGATATGTTATTGTATTAACACTTTTAAGCTCACTTATACTGTCTCAAATATAGTGATGTGTATGATTTATTCCAAAGATGGAATCAATGTTGTTATCTATGAGAAAAATATTAACATTGAATAAATGTTGATTATATTGGGCTATCAACAGATATTGCAATATGATTACCGTGAGACACTACTCAACCAAAAGCTTGATTAAACTTACGTTCACAGCCACCTGTTCACACACGAGCGTGTCGAAACCTCTGTGATCTTTTGCTCATAGTCATTTTCGGCGTATTACAAGATAATCAAGGGAAAATATATTCTTTTTTAACTAACGAAGGTGTTGAAATGTTGAAAAAACAATACGAGAAAGGAACTATTATTTTGAAATATTTGTGAATAGGTATTGTTTTTGCAATATTGGATTTCGACGAACTTAAAACAAATCAAACAAATCTTTACCGATTTGTTACTTCATTTATTAATTTATTATTACATTGTTAAATACTATGTAAATAAAATATTATGATATTCATTTTCCCATCCAATACCAATGAAAATAATAAACAAAAGTATTGGTTATATTCCTCTACGAATTAGGTCAAAATTTTAACTCTTTTAAACATTCCAATTGAATTTTCCAAAAATATTTGCAAAAACAATTGAAAAGTACACTGCCATAAAGCTTGTGGCGAAATGCTGAATTTTAATTTTTTTTGTTTTTTGGGGAAACTATTCAGTTACAGAATAGAATAGAATAGAAAATAAATATTATCCTGGAGCAAAGTCCCTTTAGAATAACAAAAAAGTACACAATTAAAATATTATTTCTGACCTAAATAAAAACAAACACATAAAGAAGAGAAATAAGTAAAGAAAATATTAGTTAAACATACTATATACAAAATTTAGAAAAAGTCTATATACAAAACACTTGAAACCATGCTAAGAAACTTAAAACTATGTGCAGTGGTAAAATATAAATATACACTTTTAGAAATCATAAAATAAAAAATATATTACATTCTTCATAGCAGTAAACCTTTTTTTATATTGAAAAAAAAGAAAGTCGAATCTGATAGTAAGTCTTTATGTGATAAGTTATATGTAAATACATCATTATGAATAATATGTAATTTTACATAAAAGTTCAGCGGGTATCTGACTGTTTTTGGGACAGAAATACAGTTATACGGATGAAGTTGGCAACTATAACTATCTTATGACTCTTGTGTATTATTTCATTTTCCGCATTTCTTTATATTGACTGACTTTTCCGGAAAATGCTCAATCATTGTTCTTCTCTTTTAATTTGAAAAATCTAAGAAACGAACTTAGTAGTTAACCATCAATATCATCACTTATTTTTAAACGTTCAATTTATACATCAATTAATACTCATTTTATGGAATCTAGTACATCTTTTATGTCCATAAAAAATCCATTTTAGAAAAAAAAATAACCCTAACTTTCTATAACTACTTAATAAAAATATCTGGGATAAAACATGTGTTTCACTATTTATAAACACTCGTGTTTAATAAGAATATTTTAGATTTTGTGAAAATAGAAAAACATGTATAAAGTACCATTAGTTTTCAGAAATTAATTTTAATATTTTGTTTTTGCTGTATTAAATGAATTTCTAAAGGATCTTGCGAAACTTTTAAACATTTTCTACCTATTGGGTAAGTATATTATACAACCCAATATTATCTCTGTTTATATTTCAATAAAAATGTTGTTCAATTTGGCTCATGAATCATTACGAATCACTTATTTGTCAGTTTTAAAAAATATATATATTTTATTCGTATGAGTACCCACTTAGGAGATACTAAACGTCGCTTAAATTAATACAATATTTTTTAAATAAAATGTTTTCGATAATTAACTTCTTACCTAATCACTATAACTTATTGTCCTTAAGTGATACAGACTTCAATATTTCACAATAAAAAATATTAATCTGCCTATCAATTAAATATATTTCATCAACTGTTTTATTACTAGTGGTTTGTGCTTGAACGTTTTTTCTTTTCCAATTATTTTTATTTTACTCATTTTAAATCTACTTAAAGCTTGATATGTTTTTAATAATTTTGTTATCTTACTAGCGATTGTATTGAAGTCTGTATTCATGCAAGAGTTTTGAACAATAGAAAATTACCACTCACGTTTATATTTGGGACGTAAAAAAACAATTTGATCTGTCTTTCTTCAAATTCCATGTTACTGGCATATTATATAATACCGGTAATCCTATAATTATTATGCAATTCTTATAGATTGAACGGGTTCATATTTAGATTGTCCTATATTAATTTCATCAATTTTTTATTTCTACTTTCGTTTACGATCGCATAAGTGTATTTTCTTAGACACGTCGATTTGGTTGAAAGTTAAGAATCAGTAATGGAATGATGATGATGCATACAATTTCTATCCAAAATGCATTAGCTTACTGATGTGCAAAGGTGTTTTCGTTGATTCGCTTATATTTAAAAATGGCTCTAGCCCAAAGTTGGAAGATTTGATAAATATTGTAGTAATGGTCGAGTAGCATTTCATCAATTTTTGGTTGTGAAATATGACAGTAAGTAAATATAAGAAATGGAAGGTTATACTGCAGTTGTTTGAGGTATAGAGTAAATGAACAAGTAACAGACACTCTAGCAGTAATAGTTTTCAACTCATTAACAGAAAATAGGATTTATAGAGTATAAATATGAGTAAATTTGCTGTTAAAACACTTAAAAGGATAATGCCTGAATCTCAAATGATGCGATGCCACATTAGCCGATTGGTAATTGATTTTCCAATGGGCTTAGCGTTTGAGAGGTTTCTTATCACATTTCTTTAAGAGATATGCTTGAAATTTTGTTTTATTCATCTATACTTTCCCATTTATTATTTTAAAACTGTGCAAAGTTTATGGTTTTAGTAAAAACCATTTGATCCCAAAACGTGGGTGTCCAAGATGAAAACGTGGTTCTCATTCATTACTCGTGCAATACACGCTCTCGGGTTGAAGAATAATCCCCACATATATTATTACAGTAAGGCTCGAAATCGAGTTAGTACCAACTATAAGCTCCTGTCACGCTCAAGTACGAATGGGGTACCGTTGGATCAAAATTTCACGGGGTTTTTGCGAATCGTACTCTCCGATTTTCTTTTTAAAATAAATAAAGTCGATAAAAACATTTTGCTAAGCTTCAATAATGGAACGGTGGTAACTCCATAGATCCATACGGGATAAATTGGGCTTTAAAGATTTTAATGCGTATACCGAGGCCCGAATGGTTCCTACGTTCTTAAGCCTAAAAACGTACTATTTTCCAGATAACGCAAGGCAAAGGGTTCGCATCCTCACAACCATACGGTAGTTGAAGTACTGTCATGGGATACATATCTCACTTCGTCGACAAGAGGTCGCTATGATCTAGAGAGATGGAGTTCATATTGTTTACCAAATGTGTTTTTACGTCAGTAAGCCATATTATCATTAATTCTTCATCAAAACACAAGATTGAGCCAACAATTTTGAAGGTTTCCTCCTCCTTCAGGCGGAAAAAAATAATCCAATCACCCCCAAAATTCAGACAAAAAAGTTATGAATGAAAAGAAATTTTATTCGCGAATAACTCGAAATTTACACACTTTTCCCTAGATTATGTCCATGATTATATAAAATATTACTAAATTCCCTACAAAAGGGAAAAAACGGACAATTATTAGCAATAATACAGTTTATTGAACTTTGTAAACATGTTAGTTTTGTTTTGTTTCCTTTTTCCATTATATTTATCGATAAAGTAACAATTGACTTCTGTATCATATGATACGTTGCATTATTTTCTTCTCTTATTAATTTGTCATTTGATCACTGAACAATATACTGTGAATTTTTCGCACAGCACTACTAGTTAACTAATAAACTGTATAGAAAAATAAATCAGTAAAATACTAAATTTTCTGTCAATCAAATCCATTTGCAGATAGTAGTTGTCAGAACTAAAACCGTGGTTGATACTAATATTGAAAATGTATTTTAAAGTGTCTCTTACCTGTACATTTACATTAGTGTATTTTTGTAATAGCATCGATGTGACGATTATCACATCTACTAAGGTTCGTTTGATTTGACGAAATTTTCAGGGATTGTGTAGTTTTATATCCTGACGGTCTAATATCCTTTTTATCAAATTCTATCAACTTATTTCGTTTGGTTTGTATAATTATCAACTCGTTTAAGCGTGTGTTTTTCCATGACATGACTATGCTTCGAAAACGGCTACTCCCGTATATTTTATTCTCGAACGAAAAATCATGAATCTTGAAATTCAGGTAATTATGCAACCGACAAAAATGTTGAGTAAGCTATACTCACTATACTTAGCCAACATAAACCTTTTATTTAAGGAACTTGACAACCAACTTTGATATAACACTCTGAACTAACTGTTTTTTATTACATATTGTATTCTTGATTTCTGTTATTTCGAATCTTGAGTAATTTCATAATTCTTTGTAATTGTAATAGTGATAATAATTAACTTATTTGATAGTCAAATCTTGAAATTAATAAATAATTTATACTTACACTCCAATGTATATAGATGAAAATTATTGAGGTAAAGAGAGCCGTGGAAAACGTCGTTTTTTCCATCTGAAAAGAAAATATGTATTGATAATTAATTTTGTTAATTTGATATAATTTTTAGAACAGTTGTGCTAATAAAGTTTTATTATTTATATGTTTTACAATTATATTTAACTAGGCTAGTACTCCATGTACACCTGACGACGGACCAACCCTCATCTTACAAATTATTCAACTATTCATTTAATTATACTAATCGTTCGTCAAATTGTATAACTTTAATTTAGATGTATTTTGTAGTTCAGATCGTATTTTATCAGCATAAAATAAACTGAACGAAACCGCAGCTCGGACAAATTTTTAATTTCTTTAAAAATCTATATTATTCATCGTGCCACATTGCCAATTTATATTAATATATAATTATAATTATTCTTACTGCCGATTTGTAACCATTTATTTATATTCATCTTGTCTTCATATAATCCCAACAATAATTTAAGCCTTTTATATGTATATTATTTTCATTTTTCGTTATATTGTGCTTCCTTTTCTATTTGATAAGAAATTTGTAATCTTTTATTTATATTAGGAGAGTATTACTTAACAGGAGCTCATATGTAATTAAATGAACAGCTGTGTAATTACTGCTAATTATAGAACTAATTGGGGAGCTCCTGTAAACTCCTACGCTCCTAATACTAAAACAAAATAAATTATGACATACACTAAAAACTTTTTTATGCTATTGAGAGATAATCGGTTTTGAAAAGTATGATCTAAACTATTTTAAGGTGCAGGTAAAGAAAGAAGAAGTTTATAAGAAATGCATATCCTACAGAGATGAATTTAGAGAAAATAACTTGTTCATTAAAGAGCAGTTGGTCGGAAGTAGGGGAACCATGTCTCATACTACAAGTTATTTCTTGCAGAAACTCGTTGTTGGAAGGTAGCAGACGAAGATATTGGGAGAAACTATAATTTTGGAATCGTTGGGGATCTTCCTTTGCCACAAATACTAAGCTTAGCCTTCCCATGTTCGTTTCTGTAAACTGTTTTTAAACATGTTTACTATGTTTTTTTAACATGGTAAAAATGGTTCCAACTAACTCTTTTTTTCTTGCTTTAAATAATGTCTCTTGGTCTGATGAGTATGCTGTGTGATTCAGCAACTCAACACAGTAGAGCAGCCACGCAATATTATTATTGTGATTCCCTGTTATCGACTAATATATATTATTCAGTCACAATATCTGCAATAGTGAGTAAAGAATGAAATTGATATTTAATATTTTTTTTGTTTATGAAAAGCAAACATAAGTTCTAAATCTTATCCCAACTACTACTACTATTAGTGTGCTGTTGGCCCAAAAGTCATTTATCCCTCTCAACAATGGGTAATAAAATAGTTTGATGTTTGTGAAAATTATCGATGCTGACAATGGTGTATCTCTTTCCATTGGATTGGTAACTGAATCAACACGTCCTACGAAACACCGCCGACGGTTAAGTGAAGAAACTCTTGTTGAATATAAATCAGTAAGATAGTAGTTGGAGTTGATTAACATCTCTTCTTACCGCAATCCATGACAGCATGTGCTAGGTTGTATAATTTCGTAATAGAACTCTTTTTTTTTTAGATTATTCAACTAGAACAAAAAAATACTTTATTCCTCCCTTTCTTGCCTTTCGGCTACATGGGATTTTGCAGGGACGGCATATCACATACATGTATGCCATTCCTGCTATTAAATGACAAACACATCAATTTTGTTTTTGTATTTTTCAAAAACTCTTCTTTTTTCATTATTATCATTCATTATTCTTATTTTCACCATGTTAGTCTGGCAGCCTTCCATTAGCACGTCCTCTTCTTCCCAGATTAAAGTCGGAGGGCCCCAGAGCAGCTTTCCACCCGTACACAAAATCTTTGTAATACGGGTAGTTCTGCTCTGCCACTAACTGGGGAAATTCTTCTTCCGTGAGGCCATAGACCCCAATTTTTCTCATCATTTCGGCCCTTAGTCCATCAAAGGCGGTGCAATTTATTATGACGTGCTCAGTAAGTGGGGCATAGAGGATCCATAAATAAATATCTGATATATTTGCTTAATTGTCAGAACAAATTAATCAAATGAGTCTCTGATTGCTATTTATTGAACGATTTAGGGAATTTTCGTCTACCTCTTCAGGGTTTTATTTTCCCAAGAAATTGGGGGTCACAAAATTTAATACAAGATTGGTCCAATAGTACTTAATCCATTTAGTTAAGTAGGGGAGGGGAGGAAGAAGATTCCATGAAACATTCAATAAATTGCAATTAAAGACTATTTTGATTGATTTATTCTGTTTATTAGTGTGAAAATAATAAAGGTCAAATCTGCATAATCAAAGAAACAATTTGTTTCTTTTTATTTTAATGTTTTGCACTCAATAATATATTGATAAAACTAAATTATAAATCAAATAATAATCTAAATTGTTTGAGGAAAAGTTTATTTTTCAAATAATTAGAGATACTAAATAAAGCTATTTATGTGAGCAGAATTCCTTAAAAATATAGGAACTATGTCAACACAGTATATTTTTTTGGATAATGTCTTAATTTTATTTTTTTTTCAAGGAAATTTAACTACTGTTTTTCTAAGAGAATTTGATTACTTTAAAATTAAAATTTAAGAAGGCGGAATTTCCTTGAGAGATAAGTGAAATGTTATCATTAAACATTCTCACTACAAATACTAAAAATTTAAAAAAATTAACTGGTGTTAAAATTACAGCGATATAGACGTCAAATGAATAAAGATTTGTTAGCAATACTCAATTGAACTTTACTTTAAATCTTGACCTTCAAGAAATTTTTATTAATGATTACTTTCATTATTCATAAAATAAATTAAAAGTTTCATTATTCGTTAATCATGAAAGTTTCTTATAGCTTCTGAATAATAATATACGCTTAATATTATTATTAATATAATAATTATAATCTAATCATAGGAGTCATTGCTATATTTTTAAAATTTATAGTGCATTGATCTAAAATGCGATAGATGTTGAGGAGGTTTTCCTCATTGCCAAAATTTCTAAATAATACTCCCTGAGAGATACATTTAGTTAGCATTGCAGATCTTGGAATCTTATTTAATAATTCTGGAAAAAATAAAAACTACGTCTTATGTTTTAGAACACATGATAGAAGTGAAAACATCAGCAAGATATGTTATATCTACTATATTCACTAAGTAATAACTATACTATATTCATAAAGTAATAACATTTACAATATATATAATTATAGTTTTGTATTAAAGTGTATTTTATGTTCTTTATCCACAAAATAATAACATTTACCATACATACAATTATGACTGTGTATAAATTACTGCAGTAAACTTTGCTCTGTTTAATTTAGCTTTTTTTATCATACTTTTTTAGCTGAATTTATCATACTTTAAAAATGTACATTTGATACACTTTTGAATAATAGCTCATTACAAATAGAATAAAATGCTGAACATTTCTCTCGCTCAAAGAATGCAGGTCCGATTTTTTATTTCTGAGATATTTAACCCATACGCTCAACAAAACCCGTTGGTTTTCGATACTATTTTTACCTCTCTAAAATAGTATCGAGGCGTTGAGTTAAGTACCCTTTTGAATAATAGCCTATAGGATGAAATTCTGAACGTTTCCCTTATTTACGGAATGCAGGTACGATTTTAATTTTCTTAGATATTTTAATCCCAATGCCAAAACATTTCAATTAGTCAACTCTAGCCGACTTTTCCCGAATCAGCGTTACACATCCTAGCCTGACATTCTCATACACTAAAAAGTGTTCACTTCAAAAAGTATACACTTAAATATTTTTTTATTTAATCTTTTTTTGTTTTAAGGGAAGAACTCTATACAAATAGAATCTATCACAATATAACCAACATTATTATCCTTATGGTATTACTTATTCATTCTTTTTTATACTACATTACAGGTATTATACACTGTTAAGGATAAATTAAAAATCATATTCACTTATCATATACACACTTAAGTATTACTGCTCTTTAATCTTTCTACTCATTATGTATGATACAAGAATCCGCGTATTCGAACCTTGCCTCTGACTTATTAGGGCGAGAAACCTCATTTCCTGCTCTAAACTGATCGATCGGAGAAGACTCCGAGAGCTTGGAATCCAATTGTTTACAGAGCTGACCAACAAAGCGAAGAGGATTGGCCAACTGGACAAGCGATAGATGAAGACGATAAGGCTTTGGCAAGAAGGGCGGAGGATGAGGAGCTGACGTTCCGGCCAGTTGGCCACTGGACCACTTGGGAAACCAACGCGTTGCGTTCATCAAACAATGGGATGCTCCGAGCTGGCCTCTATCTCACCGTGCCATCTTGGCTAGGACTCGGTCTGGGGCTTTGTCTTCTTGCAGCGGACAAGTAGAGCTCCTGCGCAATGCCATCTCCTTTAATAGAGAAGAACTTATTGTCAAGAAGCCAAAATCCAACGTACCTAAGACATCATAGAAAAACGTTGAACAAACAAGATGGGAAACAAACAAGGATAAAACGGACTCACCTATTATTGCGGATTGAAGATGGACAGTAGTGAATAATACAAGAGAAGATTGGTTGGGATGTTCAGTTAAGAAAAAGCAAAAATAAGTAAATTATATTTATTTTTGCTTACATTTCTGCCCAAAGTTCAGGCCTTTATTAGGACTAGGAAAAAAACAGAGAACAATAGATATGAGAAACTATTGATAGTAAAAAGAAAATAATAAAATGTACGTTAACGGTATAGTATAAAAACATGTAGGTAGAATAAACTTAAAGGAAATATAAAATAACGATAATTATAATTTATCTAACTATATTATTATACAACTAAATATTGTTATCTGTTCTTTTAGCCCTGATGAAGGCCTGAACTTTGGGCCGAAACGTCGGCAAAAATAAAATAAATTTAATCTATTTATTTTCAACTTTTTTTGACTGAACACCACAACCTATCTTTTCTTCTATTATTTCGTATATCATTTCCGATTTTATCTTTCCTCCACCCGTTCTCTAATTTCAGAAATAATATTACTCAATAGAAAAGCCCGACTGTTATATGGTTGCTGTTATATAACATCGTGCATGTTAATTCGGCATCAGGACACTTAAATAGTGTATTATCACTCAGATAAAAATATTTGTCAACAAATTAACCAGATTTTAATGCGGAGTTTCTTTTTAGCAGATCATGCCTTCTATATTTTCACTTGTATTATGAAAGAAATATATATTAAAAAAAAAATATATATATGTAAAAAATTGGTATAAGAGCCTATGTGAGTGGAAATATTTTTTTATTCCTGTAAATATTCTAAATAAATCATGAACTAAAAAGTATTCAAGAAAGAATCATTAAAAATTATAAATTATTATAAGAAGTACTAAAATAAAATGTATACATATATTATTTAAATCTGTTCAGTATAGCTGACATATGTTTATTCATTTGACGCTATTTTGTTGTCATTATCGGTTAAATGTTTTAAATTATAAGTATTTGTAGTAAGGCATTTATTTAATCATAACGTTTTACTTATCTCTTAAGGCAATTCCACCTTCTTAAATTTTCATGTTATAGTAATAAAATTATCTTAGGAAAACAGTAATTAAATTCCACGAAGAAAAAAAATGAAACCATTATCAACAAAAATAAACTGTATTGACATAGTACCTCCATTTTTAAAGAATTTTGCTCACTTTGCCATGAATGGTTTTATTAAGATTTTGCAAAGTGCAAGACCAAGTCCGATTTTGAGCAACACTGATTGCAAGCGATTTAAAAAAGCGTCTCATTATATGAAAAAATCTTGAATATGTCGAGTATTTTATATTTACAGATAATACAAATTTTAGCTACTAAGTTATTTACTATGTGTGACCATTTATTATGCGGTCAGTATTCACTCCATCTTTTTTGTTTCTATAGCATTACGTCTAGACTGTTTTGTTTTTTTTATAGTCTTTTTTCATATTATTTGGACGAATCTTACCGACTTAATAACTATCATAATAAAAAGGATTACTATTCTCAATTCTTCATATCTTCATACAAGAATATTTTTCTTGTAAGCTTAATAAAAGGGACTTAGAACTTTTTCGTTAAAAGTCAGTTGCTCTGAAAATCGACCCTGCTTTTCCATTGTTAGAAATGCAAACTTTTTTTTTGTTATCCCGGATGCCGTATATCAACGCATAGTGTGTTAGATAATAAGCTTCGATGTTAGACTATACATCGTTGGGTCATCTCGAACTGTCTTTGTAAATCAGACGATGCGGCCTGGGAGAAAGGAAGAGGTTACAGAATAGCAGAGGATGAGAACAACCTATTTACTCAATTATTCTGGTTACGTGTATCCCCCGGCGGCTGAGAACACTCTGGATCTGCGGTTTGCTTTTGTCTGTAACTGGACCTTTCCCATGTCAACTATGATCCCGTTGTTCTTCTTGGGAGGTTGATGAGTATCGTAAATGGGTCTGGTATGATGAACCTTTTTATTTTATATAAACGTTTTAAATAAATAGACACTATGTGTTTCCGAGGCCGTAGTGGATAAACTAGTTTAATTTGTTTTCCTAAATTCACACATAAGACTTATTTACTTGATTATAACAAGTCCTATTTAAATAGGATTTAGACTAAGGAAGTTGAGCTTTGGGGTTCCATTAAACTATCAAATTCTTACAATCCGAAATCCTTCACAAAATCCTCAATGCTCTCTACTTTGTCACAAATAAATTTATTCAATATGACCTTAATATTGTATATGTTTTCGGCTTAGCCCAATCCATAAACCTATCCTTCCCTGATAAACTTAATGCCATCTAAGCCCACTGGTTACTGACCTTGCAACGTCTACGATAACCAATATTTTACAAGGTATGACAAAATATTTTATATCAAGAATCTCATAGAATATCATTTCATTCTAGTTGTCTGTTATAACTCATAGAATATGGTGCAAACGTAAATTGTCTATCGGCCGTAAAATGATGAAAAACTTATTAAAATACTTACGATTTATACATTGATAAACAATAAACATTAAGGCAATAACTATACAATTTTTATATTGTGATTAACTAAGGATTCAGTAATGCTGGTAAAATAAAAAATTTTCATAACACTACAATAACTGTTTGATGTTTTTGAAAAATGATTTCACAATCATCTCACAAACTAAAAATTAGAGACAAAAAAATTTGAAATTCATTTAATATATGATCTCTCTATTATAACAAAAAGTTTTTAGTGACTTTCATATTTTATTTTATTTTAGTATTAGGATAGTAGATAACAGGAGCTCGGCGATTATTTTACAAATTATACAGTTCATTTCATCACATATGTACTGAGCTCCTGTTACCTCTTACTCTCCCAATACAAAATTAAGATTTTAAACTAAAAATTTGCACGCGACATGAGTTTTTTTAAGTTGATAAGAAATTATTTTTATGTTGATAAAAAATAATCTGAGCTATAGAATACATGTAAATTAAAGTTATACGATTTGAGCAACCAGCAGTACAATTAAATGCACAATATTATTTGAAAATGGGGACTGTTTCACCGTTTAGCGGGGCACCTCTCTAGTAATACATAATTCCACGCATTTATAATCACTTTTTAAATTATTATAATATATAAATTAATATGTATATCCATGTTTTCATTCGGTTGTTACAAAGTTCGTAACTCGGACAAAAATAGCAGCATTAAATCCCAATTATCCGAAATTAAAAATAGAGTGTTCGATTAAACCGACCTCTCGTGAGATCTCTTAAGCAACCTTTGTGCTTAATTTTTATCTGTGATATTTATTTAAGTTTCAGACTTAATTTGTTTGAACTTTTTTATGTTGTTAAGTAAATTATAAGAAGTAGGGGATGTTCGTAAATAAATGGTTTCACTGATTTATATCTATTTGTCCCAATATATTTTTATAAAATAGTTTAATATTGTTAAATACGTCATATCCGTGTATATTATTAGAAATTTCTTTGGTTTATTATTTATATATCTAAATCGGGAACGATTAATTCCAATTTAAATGTTTGATAATAATCATTTCTGATAATTATTAAAGAAAATATATTGAAAAAATTGATTAAGTTAGTTTTCGAACAACTATTTTAATACAAAAAAATCTAAAATTAAAAGCCATGAGTCTACAATATATGGATTTTTTTTCCAAGTTTTTTTTTATGGGTGTTATATACACCTTCGAACGTTGTCTTTTGAATTTGTTATTTTATTATTTAATTTATTTAACTTAACACGTTTTGTATCGTTGCTAATCAGCTGTTCTATATAACCTTCCTTAGTTGTGTTAATAGAGCCTTCTCTTTTCTTCAATATGTATTTGGATTTCTTAGTGATCAACTGCAATATTTTTTTCTATATTTGTGTAATCTTGTTTTTTTTGCCATGATTATGTCTGAATTGGCGAAATATTAAATGGCTAGTTAACTATTCACCAATATGTTGGAGGTTACAGTTTGGATGTTTTTATTTATTTATACCATAATCACCTTACGTCGCTTTTCCTGCTTTATGCTTATTTTAATATTTTAATAATGTTATAATGGAAATTGCACAATTATTAAATTAAATTGAGCCTGCTTTAATTCAGACCATGAAAAATCATTTATACACCTTCGCGTGATTATCATTATTCACATAATTGTTGTTTAGTTCCGAAATGCAATAGATGAAACACACGAGATAATATTTTCAAAACTTTTGCAACACATGAGAGCGAGCATACATGTTGCAGAAGTCTCACACGGGAAATATCGCGTCCTAGGATATGTATGGGCTTTTTTTCTTAAAAAAATAAATAAATAATGCGGTCTTATACAGCTTTAAAGCAGTATATTCGGTTATTAAGATTTTTCCTATTGGATTCTTCATTGCATATTGATTTTATTTAATGTTTACATTGTTATATATTGGTTCAGTCCGCCTACAAATAATGAAATCTCAATTATTAGAAAGGTCTTACCACTTAAGATAAGATGACCTGAAATTTTTAAGATATAATTATTGGTCTTTATTCTTTAAGCATTTTTTTTTGTTAATAAAATGTTTTAATTAAAGAAAATCGTTGTATTCAAATGTATAGCTTGTTTAAAATTAATAATCTATACTAATATTTGAATTATTTTAGGGGTGTTTGATTGATTTTTTTTTCCCAATCTCTCTTGCCTTATTGAATTCTGTCATTAGTCCTCTAGCAGCTACGGGGCTGTTCCAGGCGACAACTGTATCGTCTGGTTCTGTTATACTCCA